TGTTGCATAACAAGTCACTTGTCGGCGATCCGGCCATGGGAGCTTGAGTGATGGCACAAATTGTTTCTGAGCACACAGAGGGGGGTTGTGAAGACGGATGGAAACTCAGTATGTTCACATACTTCTGCGGTATTCCTTTGCGAAGAAGCGAACCCATAAGGGATTCGCGGTCACTTGAGTCGAAGGCTCCTTTTAGGTCAAGGACCACGACAACCGTTGGTCGATGGTGCGTGTTGCTTCCCTTGCGGACGCTGATGGGACTTTGGAGCCTCATCGCACATAAACGATTGTTGATGCGGATCCAATCGAGTAGTGGAGCTTCAGCACTATTATTGAGTACAATGCCTACGCCACGCTGGCCTACTGAACGGACTTCGTCATCACCTGATGCGCGGAGGAAGAACCTCGAAGACAACCCCGGTGCACTTAAGTGGCATATAGTACTAGGATCCTGGATTCGAGTCTCCGACACGCAGCGGATACCAATCCCCAAAGAGTCCATTGCACGCGCCAGACACGCCTGTTGATCTATCTGCATCAAAGTCCTCACATTGAAGGCCCCCCAGATTCAGTGGATGACGAGGCTTCAGAATTGCAATTTATTTTGTGGTAAACTGCTTACCGGGCTACTTGGCAACGAACTTTGGCGAGTGACGAACAAGTTGTCTGAGTGAATGTTACGGGATGGAAGAAGGGAGGGGGTTGTGTACGGAAGACAAAGAGTTGAACAAAGGTTAAATCGGACGCGAGTTCTCCTATGTGGGAATGACCACCCCTTGGTGGATGTCTCGTGACTTCGGGTTTATTCCTACTGCTGTTCATCACGTGGTGTGTAAAGAAGCTTAACATTGTTTGTGCCTGGTTGCAGCACAGAGTTCTGGGTTTATTCGTTTGAAGATCTCCGTAGAACCCTAAGGCTTCTGTTGCGATCAGTCGAAATGTATAAGGGTCATTGTTTGGAGATTTCTGTTTTCTAGACCCTACATGGGCGGTCAGATTTTTTTAAAGAAAGTCTCAGTGAACTGAATTTCCCAGATAACCGAAATTTATAGTACTTTGGACCATTTCCAGACAATTCCGCTGTCTTGCCGACGATGCCCTGGCACGGGTACACAGTCTCAATCTTCAAGCCTATTGGCCATGGCTTTCTAACACCGGATTGCTTAGTCTAGGCAAACGGTTAGGTTGTGTAAACCTGGCCGTCCGCGCTGCGGCAGCCGTATCCAGTGGTAATCCAGTCGCGCCTTTCAACTTACTCCGGCGACAGAAAGAGGAAGGCGAATCACTGGTAGACACAGAAGATCCGGGTCTGCCTAACTCGAGTGGTGTGCTTTTCAATCGATGCGAATCGCCTCGTTCTTCCCGTTCGAACACGTTGGGCGCTCGAGTGCGCAGTGTTAGTCGGAGAGCTCGAGCTGCAGCTGCAGCCGCTGCAACTGTCCTCCTCGGACAAAATCACAGTTCCGACGACGAGGAGATCACGGACGAGTCATTGGACGATAGATTGTGGACGAGTAAAGCGCACCGACTAAGCCGTGAGTGGTTAGACGCTTTTCACACGGCGTTTGAAGTATGTCGCCTCAAGCGCCTGGATTTATCGTGGTGTGGTAACTATTCTCAAGTAAGTTTTTCATTGTTTCAATGATCTGCTAATCATTTTGTTGTTCGGCTTTTTTGATGAAAAAATCATTCTTTATAGGTATTCGGTGTTTCAGGTTTTGTTTTTTATGGAGTTATACTGATCAAGTTTGACTGATGACGTGAGATCTACTCAATGCTCTGTCTGTAACTAGAAACGTTAGGAGGAGAAGCCCCACCTCGCGCGTATTAGTGCTCTCCTAATCGCCGTCTTGTCCTGGGTTGTTTTAGATTTTCTCATGTTGGTATCAGTTTCGGTTATTTTTTGTAACCATCAGCCGGACTCCCAAAACTATGGTTTAGGTTGTTGGTTGTCATAACAAAACGGTCGGTCATCTTAACTACTGTTCATCACAGTTAGTTGGTGGTGATCCAGTGATTGTGATCACCACGCTTTGGTCTCTAGAGTCCTAGATTTGGACTGAAGTATCACCACCCTACCTTGATGGTCTCAACACCACGCCTAACGTAGCGGGCCCTTATGTGGTTTGCTACTTCAAGTCCCAAGTCTTACGTTACCGGATTCCATGAGTGAATAGCAAGTCTTCGCGACCCAGAGGTTTTCTACTGTTCATCACAAAAGAGTGCGTAATAAAAAGTGTAGTAGTGAAAATCACGTAAAATCTCGTTTTTTTTAGTTCCCACAGTTTTCAAAAAGCCGATAAACACAAACATAAATACCGGAATTAACCCAAGCTATCGTTAGCGTAGAACCAAGTTTCAGACGGATGATGTAATTTCCACATTAGACAGTTACAATATATTGCATAAATTTTCTCCAAAACTGCATGAATAATTTCTCTGTTTTTCCGAAACTATCTTACATATGGTTGTGCTCCCCTTTCGCCAGATCTCTCCCACTGCTTTCGAACACTTCCTCGGTGATTGTTGTCGTCAGTTGACCACTTTGCGTTTGTCCAGCTGCAAGTTCCTCAACGACGATTGCCTGTTGCATATTGTAAACACATGTGCTCAGCTCAAAGGTGAGTTAGTGTTCCTCGTTTGGTACAGTGGCGTGATTAAGTGGTAATGAATGCACGGTTTAATACGCGATTAGTATTAATATGTGAATAATTGGACAAAATTTTTCAAAAGCACACGACCAGTTTCGCTTCGCTTACCACTCGTCAAGTATGCGTATCCGGTAGTCTTCTGTCAGGTCATTCCTA